TTAAAATTAAATTAAGCGGAAACTAATTAAACTGCAAAACACTTTGAGTTAGAACAAAGTTATTACCCGCTTATTGCTAGGCAACATTATATCTTTCCATTGGGAGTCGTGTTAGCAAGGGAAAATGGAAAAGGTACAGGATGTTTGTCAACATTATTATCGAAATGAAACAGAAGGGTGAGAGTAATAGTGGCCACCCTACCACCCTTTTATTTGTTTTAAAGAGATAAACTTGCTTTCTGTAGTTTTGTAATATAGAATCGGTTATTATCATTATAAGTTATTGATCAGTACTGAAAATTTTAGTTGCTTGAGTGGACAAGAGGTTTACGTATGTTTTTCAATAGTTTCTACTCATTAAGACAAAGAGAAATATTAAGCAACAAAAAGATCCTGACGTATGTTTTTCCAGTGGAAACCCTGATTTATAAATAACACATGGAAAATATTCATCAATGTTTGATAAAGTCCTTCTTAGAATCCCTTCAAACGGCTCTATGTCTATGGATATTTATTAAACGATATCAAGCAGCAGCAGCCTTAAATTGGTCTTCTGCTGTAACGGTTGATGGCGTGCTGATGAGAATCATCATGTTCGTAGTAATATCAAAGATACCTGTATTTTATTTTATGGGTAGGTCTATTATACCTTGCACATATTCCTTTAAGGTGACCTTCGACAAAAGCACATCTGTATGACAAGGAACGTTTAAAATCAATAAAATTACGCTGTGAGCGGTTTCGTAAATAATACTGTTTCCGTCACGTTAAGCTAAAATAGTGATAAAATGAGCTTCTTTAAATTTAATACATAAAGGAAATCCTAGTTGGATTACTTTGATCACTTCTGATATCCATTAAAAAGTGGGTTTTGTGCTTCATCCTAACGTACCGCCAATGAAATTGAACTATCTCTACGTGAAAATCTGAATCTTTTCATTCAATTAACATCAAGGATATTAGACTTCATTAAGCGTACAATTAAACAATTTACACGCTACATTAATGGCATACGTTCCTTAATAGAATCAGAAACATTTTCGTTATTAAGAATACAAATTGTCTAATCAAAGTAACAGTTACCTCATCACATGCTTCATAATTTCAACAAATTCGAAGTTTTGATGAATTTAAACTTTACAATATTGTTTTCTCGAAACACAAAATAAAGAAAAACAAATTTAATAAGAATAATGTAATACAAAAAATTCCTTGTACCAATTGTAACATGGGGTTGTAGGTCAAACCAAAAGGCCCATCATGTCAGAATAAGAGAACAGACATAGAAACCGGAATGTTTTGGCCCCTTTACATAAAATTAGTCAAACATATGTCGAAGCATGTCACAATTTTTACAATATGTACTAAACTACAATATACTAAAGAAAGCTAATACAAGCAGTTGCTTCTTGAAGTGTTTTTCATTCTCTTACAGGGTAGAGTAGTCCGATCATGAAAATTGTCAATATAAACGAATTTTACATGATTTACCAAATTACTCAAATTAACTTGCTGCTCTAACATTAAAATATGTATTAGGTCACGTTATGATGGAATTGTATTAATTATTTATCCCACATCGTGACTGATTTAACATCTGGTTTTGATAAACATTTAATAACAATGGCTATACAAATACAATGTAGTACTCCAAGCATCTCCTACTTAATATTAGGGACTCTATGACAATATTTCCTTAATTTAATGTAAACTTCCGAACTCGATGAAAGCATTTCAAAGGAGCGCGAACGACTACAGTTTTATATTTATCATCATGTTGTTAAAATTAAGAACTGTGCTTTAGTATTCAATATTTTCCCTCTACGAAGCGCACAACGCTTTCGCGATGTGGAACAAAATCTAAATTGGCAGCGGATCAAACTTTCAAAGCAAACATTGTGGTTTCACTTTCATCCCGGCGCGTGCGACGAGTTATGCCGAAAATAAATGTTCACATTACAAATTCGAAACATTTACTTTCCTTAAAAGCAAAGTTTACTTTCCTTTAAAAGCCCTGCCAACCATCCACTCACTATACGTATCCATTAATAGATTTTCCCATACGTGCTTTTATTTGGAAAGATTTCAACGATCCATTGAGAAACACGTGAATGATGCGCTTTGTCATATCAGAAAATCTGAGTCTAAAATGAGCATTTAGTAATTTTGTGAAGACAATTGTTCGGTGACGAAATCAGATAATTTTGTTCCACCGTTTGCTGTATCGTGTTTATGGAAATAGAAATTACAAGGCACTCATCTCGTTTGCATATATGGAAGGGAAACACACGTAGGTAAACTACAAATTGAATCCTCTTCTGACTGGCAATTTGCCTTTCGCAACCTCTGTTTATTAAACGAACAAGGGAAGTTTTAATTTGTTTTTTACACGTTGTTGTTTTACATCGTTAGATTAATAACGGCTCAGATAATTAAATTTTAAGAAGAATGATTTCTGAGTAAACCTGACCTACCGAGAATTAATCCGTTACCTAAACAGGGGCGAAGAAAGTAACCATTCATTTTTAAGCTGTAACTCTTCATTTACAAACATTTATTTATCGTTTTCTCTTAAAACTGTAAAGTTTCATTAGACTTTTAATTTATTAATTGAAAGAGTTTTGAACATTGTAATCTCATAAAATACATCACCTTATTCCTAAATAACGAATGGGATGAGGAAGAGATGATCATCATAAGGTCGTCAGTCTTAAGACTAGTTGGACACGTACCTCCACTCTTTCCTATCCTGAGCTAATCTTCGCATTTCCCTGAAACTAGAACAGCCCACATCCTTAACTATTTGCGAACAGTAATCTAATGTAGGTCTACCTCTACCCCTCCTAACTCCTGTTTCTGCCTCTAATATGTCTCTGACTAGACCTTCATGCCTGAGAAGGTGTCCTACCAACCTATCTCGCCTATTTTTTATTGACTTCCATAGAGTCCTCTGTTCTCCTATTCTTTCCAATACCTCTTCATTTCCAACCTTTTCTACCCATGATATCCTCATCATCCGCCTATAACACCACATTTCGAACGTTTCTAACCTTTTCTTTTCCTGCGCGCCCATTGTCCATGTTTCGTATCCGTACAGCGCCGTGCTCCAAACATACACCTTTATCAACCTTTTTCGAATTTCTAAATTAACCATTCGCGAGCTAAGAAGCGACTTCTAAGGAAAAGTTTGGTATTATATTTATTGCTTACAGACTTTTCACCATATAAACGCCAAAACTTTGCAAAAGTTATAAACGAATTAATCATACTTGTCGAAACCATCTCATTCGCTCTATATGAGAGCGTCGTGGATAATTTCGACAAAATGCATACCCATACCCTATCTGCTGCCCTTAAGATAGCGTTTTATGAATTACTACAGAAATAGTAGTAAAAACCATCTGTAGTATATTGCTACCATTAGTGAAATTGGAAATTGTTCGACAAGGCTCATAAGGATATGGACTTGTTGAACATAATCCGTGGATACTACAGAAGGCTTTTATTACTCTGTTTGTAGTAATTCGTACAACACTATCTTGAGGCAGCAAGTAGCACCCACTATAAACAGTGAACCTTCAGCTTTTTCACAAAAATCAATCACTTTGGTAGTGTGTGAAATTTCCTTAAAAAAAAAGGATTTATCTGAAATGAACAGTTGACATAAGAGAATGACTTCTTGATGCTTAAATCGTTTGTTTCTTGATCAACTCATGCTTGTGATACCCGAATATCTTCATTCTCAAAATTAAACGGGAAAAGGAAATGAAAATTGGATACAACTAATAAAAAATGATAGGCATCGCAATCGTATTTGTGACTTCTAACATTTTCTTTGAAATCTATATATTTACCTTCTCCAGGATTTCAGATGTCTAAAAATTATACACACCTCTTAGTATCCTTATTTATATTTTCTGGATGATAATTTGAATCACACCGACGAAGTTCATTGGATGTACTGATATTTAGTCTGATAAAAGTCAATTTTGTTAAGATTTAATCAAACTGGGATACCTGTTCATTTATTCCGAAGTAATCCTGACACCTACGCTGAATATTGAGGAACGTTGTTTAGTTATGAGCCTATGACAGTAGATGTTTAGTGGATTATTTACTTTCACTAAGTTTTAAGTAGGACGAAATATCTAATATTTTTTCCCAAAAAAAAAAACTACGTCGCCTTTTGCAACTTCTTATTAGCGGCTTAATCTTGAAAAATTCCACCATTAGTGAACTTTCATCGTCTATAAATACTAAGTAACCATACTGACCTTTTCTTCAATGAACTATTTCAGTAATTTATATTGAAAATTAGGAGAAATGCCTTCTGATATGGAAAGTATTACTGCTTTTTAGGAAATTACTAATAGGTGTTTTGAGATTACAATTTATAGCCTTTGGAAAATTTCTATTGCTAGAANCGAGTTTGCCCGGCTCTGAATTAACACACCATCTTTTTGTTTATTTGACCGTATAGATTAGAATTAGATTAGATTACTGCTCGCAAATAGTTAAGGATTTGGGATGTCCTAGTTCTAGGGAAATGCGAAGATTAGCTTAATATAGGAAAAAGTAGAGTCATCAAAATGATGATGATGGCTGTATAGATACTTATATACATTTGCACCAAAAGTTCTATTTTTAATTGTTTTCGTGATGCTGTAAAAGTGTAAAAAAAAACAAAGAAGCCATTAGTACTAAAAAGAAATGTACGTTGTAAAAATAAGCTGAACAATCCTCCAAAAGCCCTCGTGGCTGTACCAACTCGTTACAGTAGCTTAGAAAATTTGTCTTTTGCGTACTTATCAAACAAAAGAAAAGACAAAAATGTTGGTCCAATCTGTCGTCTGTCTTTTAGTCGCTGACAGATTTCTAAACTTTTTCAAGGATTGATAAAAATACTCGGTGCCATCAACGTCTGCATATTTGCTTTTTTATTTGGAACCTATTGAAATGCACCTTGAGCAAAAAGTTACGATTTGTATTTTTTATTCCAGATATCGGACGGAAATTCTCCTGTTTGCGTCAAATGAAGAAACATCGTCGGCCAATTAGTTTGGATCAGACAAAAATAGCCACCACCTGATCCAGTTAAATTTATGAAATGTTCCGTAATTATTTCAAGTACTGAGAACTTCAAGTTGCGAGAGATTGACTTTTTGTTTTTATAAGTGACTGTGAAATATTAGTGCATTCAGTATGTCTGCGCAACCCTCTGAACTTTCGTTGGCCGAAATTATACGATCGAAGGAAGAACATTGTAATTCAACTTTAAATTCAACAGACATTAGAACGGATGGTAAGCAAACTATTTTCAATTTCTCTTTAACATTTGTACAAACAGTAAACAATTCAAAACAGTATTGTATGAAAATAAATAAAAGTAAAATAAAATTACTTGTATGCAAGGAAGAAAAAAAGTAGGGAAAGGGCAAATATAAAGATAGGATACAAAAAATTAGAAGAAGTGACTGATTTTCGGTATCGGTAATAGGCAATATTCGATTTATAAAAATAATACTTGGTAAATTACCAGCCCGTCTCTGTATGCACTTCTGAATCCTTTCGTGGAAATAGCATACATGGCAAACAGTGACAGATAATTTAACAAAAAAATGCACCACTTCAAACTATACATAGTTACGAAATAATAACATTATCAAAGCCTTCCTCTTCCGGGAACCACCTTGTATAATTTATTATTTACGTTAGCCAAATTTAAAAAAAAAGGACCTACAGAAATTCTGTTTTTCTTATAGAAATAATACAGAACCTCGGAAGGATGTAAAATTTACTTAACAAAAAATGTTTCTTTATCAAAATTCGTAGTATTATTTGTTCTTAGCTGCCTGAAGCTTGACTTATAAAATGAAACTCAATTTGATTTGATTCTAACGACAACATTCCTTTTTTCCATATTGATTTGTTTCCTTTTGCCAAAGATACTTTTCAGACACTTTCTTATACAGACAGATACGAAACATTTTTGCCACTTTTACTCTTTTTGGTATTGTGGTATTATCATTATTATTTTTCCATTAATCGTAGCGTATTTCCCGCAGCTCAATTAGCAAGTGTAATTGGAAATGTTTTCCTCTGTTAATCTTAAATAAATAAGATAAGAATAACAATTAGCCGCAGTTAATATAAATTAATAACTTTTTAGAATCCATATGTTTTGCTGATATGCCAGAACTTGCATAACTGTTTCGATTACTTATGTATTCTGATTTGTTTATAGAAGTTACAGATACAACTGCACTACAAACTGAAATTAATTTTCAGTCCAGATTTTGCTGTACATTTAAGGATGATGACAAAAATAATTTTGTTATTATAATGAAATTGATAGTCCTAAATTATATCGAACAACAGTAATGATAATGCCTGTCGTAAATCTGATTTTATCTCTATATATAATATCGTAATTGTTATATATTTATGTCATATTTAAATCCAGTCTTTCCTTTCTGCTTTTTCAAAGTTTTGATTCTGTTTTTCTATATTGACATATTGGGATCCGTCTAAAATGTGACTTGAATGAGACACATGGATCGTAAAATTTGTTTATTAAAATAAAAAAAAAGTGTTAAATAAATTAAAATCTTTTTGATAATGAACTTTGCAACGGATTCGATCGATCTGAAGCTTCACATTCCGATTTGGTTTTTCCAAATTTTATAATATGAAGAGGAATTTAGGAAACAAACTAAGCGCAGTACAACAAGAGGGAACAGTAATTGGTAGAACAAAAATCTGGTCAGTTTCATATGCAGATGGTATAGTATTATTAGCAAAGAGGGCTGAAAGAAATTCAATAAAAGGTGTGGAACTAAATATACATAAGCCAAAAATTTTAACGGGGAACAAATCAGGAGAAAGAAAGAAGAAACTAAGGTTCTAGTGGGAAGGAAAAATAATCGAAAAAGTTACAGAATTCAGCTACCTAGGATTCGTACAGCAAAAAAATAACGGAGTAGATGGACACATAAAAAACAGAGGAAGGATGCAATAGAGGTAATGGGAAAGGTATGGAGAATAGGAGATAGAAATCTCAAACGAAGTTGGAAAAAAGTAGTGTTCCTATTCGAAACATAGTAGAGGGCGTATGATTGCACGGGGCGGAAATATGGGGGCGGAAAAAAGAAAAGAAATTAAAAGCATTCAAGACACATACATAAGGTGGATTTTAAAAATAGATACAAATACAGCGAAATAACCTATTATCTACACGAAAAAACAAAAATTGGCCATAAAATATTCAAAAAGAGCCCTAAAGTACGAAGAAAAAGTGTTAAATTTAGAAGACAATATGTTATTAAAAGAATGTATAAAAGTTAAGGATAATATATCGAAAATTCAAACCGAAAAAAGATAATTTATAAGGGAAGGATGGAAAAAGGAAGGCAAAAATTTTTTTAATGAAAAGATCTAGGTCGATTATGCACTACAGATGGAAAGGCAAAAGTATATGGAAAGAACTGGAAAGTTTAACTAAAGACAATGATAAGCAAAAAGAAGACAAAAAATTGGAAACATAAAATTCGGACAGGAATACAAGAAAATATGGAGAGAAAGCGAAGAAAAAATGAATTATTTGAAAGACGTAAGAACAAAGAATAAAAACGATTAGATTCAGACTGAGAAATGATAATAGAAGAAGATAATCAAAGGGCACTCAAACATATTTTGGGAAATGTGGAATAAAAGGAAATGGTACAAAAAAGGGAAATTCAAATGGAAGGAAAGAAGAGTGAGAAGAATAAAAATATTTAGTAATTGTCAAATTCATATGTAGTAATAGATTAGTATGTAAATGCACCTTACATATATATAAGTTCGTAATTCCACAGTATGCTACAGGGACTACTTATGAAAAATTTTCCCTCGTCTGCTCCAGTTATTTACGATCTTCCCAATTGATTAATTCCGGTAAAATAATTTCCTTTAGAATTAACATGATTTTCGTCAATGGCAATATGTCACTTGTAGTCATAAGTGAACATCAATATGCAGAATATCATTTGCATTATCCACGATTATATGACGAAGTTTGCCTTAGAATTAAACAAGTTTGACGTAATTCAAAGACCTGATGGTTTATTAGCATTTCGTGGCGCGCAGTCTTGCATTCATTAAACTTTAACGGAGGATAATTTTATTGATGCTTTTCCGGCAGATAGCTCTGCTATAAACATTCCTTTGTTTTCGCAAAGATTTGTTTAGGCAAAACATGATATTTTGGTTTTGGCTTTCGGCGAATTAATTAACAAACCACAATGGATGGAATTAATTGAAAATGTCCGAATAACACTAAAGAACGGATGCATTAACGTTTTGCAACAAAATCATTTTCTTAAAGTAAATATTTGCCGAATCCAGTTTCATCGAATCGTTACAAAAACAATTTATGATTAAGGGCTTTAACACACATATAGGGTGTCCCAGTTATAATAATTAATATTTATACCACAGACCCCTACGGGTATTTGGAGCATAAAATGTTATAACACCTTTGACTTTTGAAACAAAATAAAAAATTATANAAATTTGAATCAATTAGGCTATGGGATGTCGACTTGAACTAATATTGATTACACGCCTAATTGTAAGATAGATAACTAACTGGAAATTGGGACTCTCCTCGTCCAGTATATTTTTATATAGTGAAGTTGTTTAAAAATAGCCGCCAAGTTTAATAAAGGTCAAGTGTATTGTATCCTACTTTGTAGCTGATGGCCAAAAGAAAGAACGGGAAATTAAATTTTACGAAGTAATTTTTGTAACTCATAAAGTTGTCAATCAAGTTTAATAAGGCCAATTTTTGTTGAAAGTGCCTATCAAATGATAAAAAAAGATTGCTATACTTGGTCAATGGAATATTGTATAAAAAACAGTTCAATTTCACTTCGTTTCTTTTGGGCAAATGAAACCTGTACAGTATTAGTGTATTAATTTTTGAATTACTTGAATTGTTGTTGTTGTAACTCTCTTGCCGGGAATCGAACCCGGGCTCTTGGTTTTACGCAACAGTACTCTACCACTGCTCTACTACTTTTACATACGTATCATCGGTGTTGATTCTGTTACCTCCTTGTAGTAGGTAAAACTAATTCAAAAATTAATTCACTAATACGTTGACGCTATAAAAATTCAATTCTATACTTATTAGAAGGAATTTTAATGAATTCCGCTTTTGCGGGTCAAGAATTTTAATGTTTTCTATTCATTTGGTTGATTCCACGTACATCGAGATATTTCTTCAGTAAACAATAGAATGAACGATTTTCCGTTTAATTTTTGCGAGTTCGACTTCATGAAAAATTACTGTCAATTCATAACTGGAACTTGAATTGAGTAAATATAATTTTGAGAATGGTTGTGGTCGTATAACTCATTCTAAGACATTTTGTGGGAAAAAGAAGCTGTTGAAACGGCAAAGGGCAATTTATCACTGCCTGCCGTATATCTTTTAGATAGAACATAGTGTCTGACTAAAATGGTTCTTCATTAACTTGTGATTCTTTTTCATTCTTTTCTTGCTTCCCTTTACATTCGAAAACAATTTCAACAACTGTCTTCTTGAAATCAACAAAATGTCAACTGTAGCGTTTTATTTATTTTATTTTTTACTGCCTAGATTTTAATGGCGACTTTGTCCGCGTGAAGCCATTTTTAATTATTTATAATAAGGACAATTGTTTTCATCAACAAATAGATATTAATTTCAAAAGTAGCTTAGATCACGTTCATGTATGTAGACTCATAAAAATCGATTCGTGGCATGCTCTCACGTTCTCATGATATTTTGCTCTTTTTGTCGACATCGCTTGGAATGTCTATATTATTCAATATAAAAAGCAAAATTAAATTTACGCTTGAAAAACTACTCTGACGTTTAGAATATAACCGTCGCGTCGATTTTAGCACAAAAGATATTTCTCCCTCTGTCCGAAAATAAGAGTTACATTTGAAAAATTTCGCTTTTTATTAGAAGTAGAAAAATATGTTGAGAAAGTTGACTTACTCTTAAATTACGGAATGTTCTAGAATACCAAAGAACATTCCGGAAACTTCTCGGGATTATCAGACTACAAAATTAATTCCTTCACTATAAATCAGTTTACTTACAAATTACGCATATGTTTAAATGTGGGGATTGAATATATGATTTGGTAGCGTGATACATATAACCTTTGACCTAGTTCTTTGTGTGTGACTGATTTTATTATTTGTTTAAATTTTACAATTGTCATTTTTGTTGTCACAAATAATCAATAAATTGAAGTAATGATATAA